CGTAAGTGATGAAGAAGTAGTCAAAGAAGTAGGTAGAGAGTTCCAGAGAAAAGGGCCAAAAAAAGCAAATGCAAATTTGGCAAAAGAGTGTTTAATACGAGTTAAGAAAAAGCGAGAACAAGAAGACGATCGTAAATGTGCAAATTTTAAAAATTATTTTATATTTTATAGGTAGCCAGTGCAAGAGAACAAGATATGGAGATAAATGGAAAAAAAGAGGCACGAGCAACTAGACGAGCAGCAGAGTTAAAAGCTTTTCTTAAAGGATAGAGCCTAGAATCAGGAAGACCATAGTAGAGCAAGTTACAGTAATCAATCCTATATAAGACTAACGAAATAACAAGAAGGAGAAGATTAGGATCATCAAGAAAAGGCAAAAGTTGTTTTTTATACGTAGATAAAAGTAAGAACTTTTAGAAATACTATTAATCTGAGAAGAAAGAAACATACTAGAATCAAAGATAAAGCCTAGACTACGAAACTTGTAAGAAACATCAATAGCTTTAGAATCAGGTAAGATAATAGGAGGAATAGTAATAGAGTGTTTAAAATTATTAAAACAAACAAATAAGTATATATATTTATATATATTTGTTCAACCTTAGATGACAAAAATTTAGCTCAAATCTGACTTTTTTTTATAAGTTTTTAATGATTTTTTTTCAAATTTTAACTTCATGGTCTTGGTCTCGTTTTTGTATCAAATTTCTTGTCTTGTTCTTGGATGTCTTGAGACATGCTCTTTGAAAGTCTCATCTTGGTTTTGTCTTGAGCTCTCAATGTCTTTGTCTTGTTCTGTTTCTATAAAACACTGTAGTCAGAGCCCTACTTAACACTTTAACCTCTTTTAGGCTAGACGCGTTTCGTTCTTTATGGGACTCATCAGTAGCTCAAGTTAAAAAATATGTATATACCAAAATATCTTATGTAGGTAAACATATATAGAATAATATATTCTCTTTCAGTCTTTCTATATGTATATATACAAATGTATATATCTATCTATATACGTTTCTATTATATATGCTTGTGTATCATTATTATATGTATTTTACATGGATAAATACATGGTATTATATGTGTATTTTATTCTACACACTTGTTTACATATAATTAGAATAAATGACGATGCGTATTTCAATCTTATGTAACATATATACATGGTCGCATGTATAGAATTGATGCACATATAAACACGTTAGATTAGACGCTGCAGACGTTCGTCGCCAAAAGGTTCCGTCACCAAGGTAATGCAATGCTCTTTTTTTCGTTCATTTTTCAAATTGCAAAATTTGAATGTTTTTTCCTGTACTTTTTTTTTACCTGTCCCATTTCGTTTTAAAAAAAGAACTTCAAAATGAGCAATCCGCCTGAACACGAACAGCCTGAAGCAGTAGAATTTGTGCCTAAAGAAGATTTGATATCAGTTTTGGCATCCTTGGGAATAAGCAGAAATGCGTCAATGAGGGTAATCAATTTTTTAAATTAATCACTTGTTATAGGTTATACCAAGCCTAATAATAATAAATATAATATATTTGTTTCAAAATTCAAATCAAATGAGTCCAAAATATCAGCTAATGAAATGAACTTTTTCGAAATCCTGACCTTGGATGAAAATTAGATAAATTTTTTTATGAATTTAGTGTCCGTCAAGAGATTGACACAACAACTTTTTAAGTAGTTTCCAATTTTTTATCATTATCTTATTAATAAAATTGTTGAATTGTGTGGGCATTTAATTTCACATAACACAGATCAAATATGAAGAAATATTGGTATCGATTGGAAATACTTTTGAAACTGAGTTTTGGTATCAATATTGACAATGCAATTTTTTGGTATTCTTAACAGCCCTGGCTTTGATTTGTTAATAAAATGAAACCTAGTTTCCTCATGTAATATTTATACATTATTAAAGCTATAATTTAACTATTTTCACTTAATTTTAATGACTAGTTTACATTATTTCAGGCGTTGTATCATACAGGCAACTACAGCGCTGATATGGCTGCAGCATGGGTTTTTGAAAATCAGGACAGAAATATCAACACACCTTTCAGTGTCTAGATTTTTTTTTAATTTGGCTTTGAAATACACCTGACTCATAATTTTGCTTTCTTATTTTTTAGATTAATGATCCTGAAAGTTTAAGTTCGGAAGAGAGCAGTGAGTTATCTGATGTTCCTTCTTATAAAATGGTTTTCGTGGTGAATCAAGATTTGAAAATGAGCATAGGCAAGACAGCTGGTCAAGTTGGTCATGCTGCTGTAGGGCTCTACAGAGAACTCATCGAGAACCAACAAAACTTTGGAGAAAGTTTATTGTTTTGGTCGCAGTATGGGTAGGTATATATATACAATTTTATTACTTATGTTGAAGAAATTAAAATTAAATTCTTAACAACTTAGTGGTCTTAATGTGATTTTTTATACATGATCTCACAAATTTGTCTACAGGCTATCTTATTTTAAAAATCTTCTTACTCATCATTTGTACTTGATTATAACTATTACTTCAATTTAAATGCTTTCTTTTAACGATGCTTCTAAATTTCAAGACGTATGTAATTAACCTTGACTTTGAAATCTTTTTTTGATCCTTCTATTGCTATAAAACTGCTTTTTGACCCCTCCTTTAATGAATTGTTTCATGTTCTCTAACGCTTAATTTTCTAACACTGACTGAGTTTCAAAATTAGATGGTGCTTAATTTGTTGTTTTTTATTGCGATTCTTTTTTGAAAATTTTTTAAGGTATTCATTTTGCCACTCACCAACGTATGCTGTATCTATGTTTCTCTCCTTTTGAAAGCACAATGATAATTTTTTACCACTACAAAACATTAGTAACAACACCACCAAATCTATTCATAATTTAAGCCATATCATCATTCATTGTTTTAATTTTCAGAGAGACTAAAATTGTTCTGAAAGGTTTAAATGCCGATCATTTGAAAGAATTAGCTAGCAAAGCAAAAACACTGGACCTTCCAATATTTGAAGTTTACGATGCTGGCATGACAGAAGTTTGTTAATGTTTTTATGAACTTAATGGTAAAAAAAGCGTGTCACTAAAAATGTGGAGACTGATGATTTGGTCGTCACTACATCCGGCTTGTCGCGTATTCTCAATCGGTAACAAATCAAAAGAAAAAATTAATATTAAATTTTTATTACAGGTACGGTCAGGTTCTTTCACGGTTTTGGCAATAATGGGAAAAACAGAAGCAGTAAACGTGGTCACCGGCTCTTTAACGCTATTATAGTTCAAAACAATGTCATTTTTCTTGTTACGTTTTAACTGCAATGCATCTTAAGTCGAACACTATTTCAAGAAGCATACATGCATACACGGATTAGTACACAAGCGTCATTTCTGTAACAGTCACATGTATATTTTTAATTTTATGACGATATACATGTTATAAATAATTGTAAAACAATAAATTTATTATCAAACTTTGTGTAAAACAAATATAAATAATTCTTGCCCTCTCGTTCATTCTCCGTTTTGTATAAAACACACTGAAAATATATATTATAAAAAAATATTAAAAAGTCAAAGGGTGGTGTTATCGTTTTTCAGGATACGGTGGAAGCAACAAATAAATTTAAGATGCTCTGGTATCAAATCGCCATGGCATTTTCATCACTTTCAAAATAGTTTGATTCTTTGTCTAACGCTGTTCTCTGCGTGAGTGAAATTCAAAATTTGACGTTTGAATACAGATTGTAAGTTTTTAACTAAAAAAGTAAATTAAATTTTTTTAGTTTTGTGGAACATTTCCATCGACTGAAATGTTTTACTACAAAAAATTAAAACCGGTAATTGTTAACAGGAAGAACTGAAAAAGAGTTTAGAAAATGAATTATGGGTAGAAGTCCCAAACCCGATATGACCATCTATGTCACACTAATTTTGCCCTTTTCTAGCCAAGATTTAAGTTTCAAAAAATTGACTCCCTAGAAACTCAAAATGTGTTTTTGTTCACACTCTATATACTATTTCAGTATACAATTTTTACGAAGCATAATGAAAATATTTTATAAAATAAAAAATGTAATTATACAGCTATGGAGTTATTCTTCAATTTCCTATCCAAGCAATTGTTGTCGTTTAAGAATTTGGAAAGATTTTTGGACACATACGGCCACAAATTGTGAGTAAATCCTAAGTTATCTTCCTGCACACGAAATTGAACGAATAAATTCATATAAGGTTTAATGTCTGATTAAAATGAGCACAATCAAATCTCAGATCATTACTTTTTTTGCAATAAAGTTTTGTTTTGAGTTAAGACCTGATATGAGCTCTGTGTGTGTGGAAACAAATTTTAAAGAAAACCAGTTAGTTTTGAGCATTTTTTTTGTTATTATGCAACTCTGACATACGCAGAACCGCTTACATATAATCCCTGTATTTAAACCTTCGTGTCACAAAGACTACTATCTACACCACACGACGTACATACACATAATGTATGCATGCGCAAGCACCGCAACATACGCGCATGGCGTATGATGGTTTTTGAGTTTTCGACCGACAGTATTCGAACTAGGCCATCGCGTAATTGCATGAGACACGGTACTTCTACTGACCTAGCTAACTCGCCGACCGCATTAGCGTTTGATTTGAATTTTAAAAGCAAGAAATTTTAATTGATGTACTACATGTACTCAAACGGTTATAAAGGTTATTGAAAAGAATGAAAAATATATGTAAATATTTGAATAACGCTCTAGAGGCATATTAATTTCATTCCTAAAATATATTTTACACAAGCTAAAGCAAGTCTAGAGGTTGAACAAAGTCGATTCATTTTGCAGAAAAATTTCATGTAATAATATTTGAAAAAACTAAAGATTTGCATTCACAATTGTCGTAAGTTGTTTTTATATTCTTTTCACAAAAATTAGTTGCGTGAGGTGCATTAAATTGGTTTTGATTGGTTGCTTTAGTTCTACAGAACTTTCTCAAAATAAATTATTAAATTCCAATAAAATATAATAACAAACTGAAATCCAAGGAAAATTAAGTATTTCGCTTGCTGTATATCTTTTATCGACATCTCTTTGAAATGTACATTCTAAGAGGCTCTGCCAATTTAAATGGATGAAAAGTTATTGTTAAAAAAGAATCGAAAGTAGCATGACAAACATCACATATTTTAATGAAGTAACGAAAAACATAAACAAGGTTGTAGAAAACTTCATGTCGTCACGAACTATCTTTTTTAAATCTTAGTTCACCCTGTTTACCGTCAAATTGTCTTTGATTTTTTATTTAATCCCGAACTAAGTAATTTATTCAACATTTTGTAAACGGGCTGAACCATTTAGCTCAACAAACAATGAATGCGATCCAATACATATTGCTGGGAGCTGATAAATTTTGATTTGAGATAATCTTTTGCTTAAAACTCTTGCTGCAGCTGCACTACACATTCTTACCATTATTCACGTTTGTTGTGCTGACAACAATCATTACAATCGATTCTCGTTTTTGTTTTTATGCCATGCATGTTGCACCACTCTGTGCCGGACAGAAAATAAATTTCTACTCAACTCCTCCAGCTTATTTTGCAGTCCTTATATTCATTTTTGTAAATTACGGTTTGATTCAATGCTTTCTGTACGTTTTCTCAGGATGTTGGATGAAAAATATCCGACTCTGACCCATCAAAAAATTCCGACTCCTGGTAAAAATTTTCGACTAGAGAACAAAATTTTTATTTCATTTTTTGCATTATAATTTTACTTAAATGTCACTATTAAATGAAAAATATTAAAAAAAACACTTAAAATCAATCAATCAAATTGTTTTACTTAGTAAAATAACTATACTTAACGTCTTAAAAAGTACTGATAGAAAATTATGTGACTTTGTTGTTATAGCATTTATTTTCAGTGTCAAAGATGAATACATATCGCTACACATATTTATCTTTTTATAAATATGATTCTAAAAAATATCTTTTCGTAAATTCTTAGTCCTTTTCGGAGTCAAATGAAAAATGTCTGACTCCAGCAAAAGTATCTGACTGACAATCTGCGTCTTCCGTCAAAGTGTTAACTCCACTTCTCAAAATGAAAAGTACTCTCCAAATGTTTTTTTTACTCGCTAGTTGTTTTGTATATTACTGACCGATTTGGTGTTAGAATATCAATGTCCTATAGAAATAATTGATGACAAACACATGCTGCTTTCTAAGATTTGGGTCTATTAAAAGGTGTCCTGCAATATCTGTTTTGTTATATCTGATTTTCGCTGACGCGACATCGTCATATTTATGTGACTGGCCTGATATTAGGCGTGGCTCAGGTACATCACTAAACTACGCAAGCAGCGCAGAATACGGCACATGGTCCTACAATAATAAACAATCACATTTACCTGCATTTACCTTACTTTATAAAACGTTACCCATAAAGATTACTGTTGTGGTTTTAAACGATTAAGCGGTAAAAAATGAAAAAAAGTTCTTACAAAGGAGACTCACACTCGAGATTTACACTTAGTGTTTTGTAAAAACATTTATCAAACACTGTACATTTGATATTACGGAAAGATTTTAAATAACATTAATAATTGTAAACATTATTGTTTAACTGAAAATTTTTTCTAAAATATTTTTTCACTATCTGTTCAGATTTTTCATTCGATCTATAATAATATTAGTTAAAATAGCATTGACAAAAAGCCTCTAACTATTTGAACCAACTTATTGATCATAATTCAAAATTGTGTTACTTTGCTATGAACGTTTATGTAGATTAAATAATTATAATAATAAAACTCTTAAAACATGAATTGAAAGAAAAAATATATAATAACTATGGCTTCCGGAGATACGTGCGACCAATTTTCCGATGGTGTGGCAATTTCATTTTTCATTATTCTTTCAAAAATGTCATTGAAGTCATTACTTGAACTAAATACAAATAAAAATTAGCTTGTAACGAAACAGTAATAAATTTGTAAAGAAAGAGCCATATTCAAGAAATTTTATCCATTGTACTTTATTTTAATTAAAGAGGCGATCAGTTGTATACATTTCATTTAAATTTAGAGCTTTCATGTCTTGCTTGATTGTTTGCGACCAGGACTTCTTTGGACGGCCTTTGGGACGTGTGCCAGGTGCTTCAACATCTGCAAGAAAAGTTATGGCACTGTTTCCACATCGTTTGACATGACCAAACCACCGCAGACGGTGTTGCCGGCATTCGTCCTTTATATCATCTAAACCAGCACGACGCATGATTTTGGTTGATTTGATGTGGTCCTTCAGACTAATTTGTTGCATCCATCGGAGCATTTTCATATCGGTTCGGTGAAGTTGTTGTTCCAGTTTGGTTGTCATTGGCCATGTTTCTGAACCATATAACAATACCGTATCACAGATTTATAAAGTCTTGATCGTTGTGGTAGTGGGATGTCACGCCGCGTCAAAATAGAAGCAAGGAGATGCCATTTATTCCAGCATATATTAGATTCCAAATGTCACCAGTGCGTATCGGCTTTGTGATTTCTTCCATCAAAGTTATAAATAACAGTAGACTGAGAATCGAGTCTTGGTGATCTCCAACGCCGATGTCAAATGTATTCGTATACATTTCCATCACAAAGTGAACAAGGTATTCTGGAATGAGTTGTCGACGTAGACTCCACCTGATTGCTTCCCGGGGAACTCACATTATCATTCACACAACAAGTTTTTATTTATCGATCACCTCACTAATTCACTAAGCCATCATCTAGTCTATTAATTTGCCTTTTTATGCCATTACTTCATTTTATTGTCCATTTATTTTATTTTCTTTTATTTATTTTTTGTATTATTATTTATTATATTTTATTTTACTTTTCATGTTTAAACATTTTTCTTTCTCCGTTGATTTATTTATTTAATTATTCGTTTAATTTTATAATACTGCCTTGCATGCTGTAACAGTTTTTACGTCTGTCAGATCCTGATTTTTAAAGAATAATAAAAAAAAATTACATAAAAGATTCGCAGTTGGCCGTTGTAGGATGATAAACAGACAAATTTTTCCAATAAGAAAAGCTGAAAAAAAAACTCCGTTATCATAACATAAGATTTGACAGGTTGACATAGTTGAATTGCTTGATTAGGGTCGAAAATATTGATTACAATGTTGTCGAGAATGTAGGAAATTAAGAGATATGGCGGTTGGGGTATCTTCGGCGTCTCATCAGTGATTACGGAAAGTAATTGGTTGATAAGCGGGCAACCTATGAAGTTTGATTCATAGATATGGAAAGTCGACTTTTTATATTATGGTTTTATTTTTAATGCTTTTGCAATGACTTTTTGTTATTATTTTTCTTAAAATTATTTCTTATATATATATATATATATATATTACAGTTATGAAAAAATCAATAAAAAGAAACATCACGTTTGGATAATAAATTTACCAAGAAAATGGTGCCATGCCAAACAGAAGTATATAAAACATAACTCCAAGAGACCAGATGTCAACTTTGCAGTCATATCTGTTTGAATTGGAAAAGCACTTCATTTCGAAAACATATTGAAAACATTATTTCATTGCAAACCGAATATTAAAATTCTGTAAAATAGGTTGATTGACAAAAAATTGACTAATTCTCTATGTATCTGATAGAAAATATATCACGATAAAAGTATGGGAACATTTTTCCAATGTTAACATTATTTTTCAGGTGATAACGACCAACAAATTTTAGCTCAAAACAAAAATTAGAAAAGATTGGTAGAAATTTGTGTTTGGTGTGAAAAGTGTATATGTATAACATATAATTATAATACAAAGCTGTAATATACTAAAATTAGGGCGGTCTTAATCTGTCTGAAAACACGCCTATCTATACATATATGTTAGAGCTTCAAGAAACAAAAAGGGAAGATTTTAATAAAGACGTAGGCAAAAAATTAAAGAATTTGAAAATTGAAGCTGGACGGCAAGAGGTGATAAACAATAATGGGTTTTTCACAATAAAGCTAATTAAACATCCTTATAAAAGAGCAGCATTTAGCAGATTACATCAATATTTTCTGGTTTTCTAACATCAAAACTTTTTGAACAACATACTATAGAGTTGTGACATTGGGATGGTAACTAATATTGTTAATAGAAGACAAACATTATAAGCCAAGAATAAATTTTAAAAGATTCAATACAATGTACAGGCGTATGCCGATAAAAGATCGAGAATAGGCGGCGCGATGGTGTAATGGCTAAGATGCCTGGCATTGTTGATGGCATTGTTGTGTCCGGGTTCGAATGCAAAACAATTCTTCGCCTATTACATGCAAAAGTGTGTGATGCGTTGATTCACGTGCATTTATGCACCGTTTGTTTGTTGTAAGAATAATAATGTGCCTCAGCCGCTTGCCATGGCACTGTATAAAATTACATTACTATCATTATTAAGAAACATAAGCATATATATAAAATGAAATGAAAAATTATTTCGTGATTATTAGATTATATTTGACAATCAAGAAATTTTTAAAAAAACTTTTTTTATGTAAAACCATGTTTGTCATAAGATGATATATATAAATAACTGCGTTATCGCTACATTACAATTTGAAAACGTATTCGCAATTAAAATGAAAGTAAATGACATTACGGCCCACCCATGTTGCGAAAGCATCTCAGGAGCAATAAAATGTGGTGTACCACAGATTACAGTCAGCCTATCAGAAAATTCACAAGCCAACCCAAAGTCACATATTTTCAATTTACTTCCGGAGGAATCTTCGTGGATCTAAATGTTACAAACGATGGCATTATTATTACCTTCATACTAGAAAATGTTTTTCATAAAATAAAATAACATTTCGTTTGATAACTAACCAGAACATTTTCAAATTTGATATCTCTATGAATAATTTTATTAGAATGTATGTAATGGAGACCAGTTGCAATGTTGTGAAGCATCCCACTGATATCTTGTTCATTGTAATATTCTGTATTAACTAAAAACTCTCCCAAATTTCCAACCTGTTATAAAAAATTAAACATTATTTAAGAACGAATAACATTTATTTAATAGCTAGATGATTGTGAACTTTTTATCACTTAAAATTTACTTGATGTCAAGTAAATTTTAAGCGATAAAAAGTTCTGACAAATGTGTTATAAATGTGTTCTGACATCGGCGTTGGAGTTTCCCAATGATCGATTCTCAGTCCACTGTTATTTATAACTGTGATGGAAAAAAAATCACAAAGCCAATACGCACTGGTAACATTTTTTTTTATCCTTTTGACACTTTTAACAGCCACGTCTGAGCAGAATGCAGGACAGATGTTTGAAGATTGGAACACCAGACTCGCCGATCATGGATTCAAAGTCAATATCAGCAAAACCAAAGCAATGAACACTGGTGAACCCATTCAATCCACAGCTACTGGACGATGGCTCTGTTCAGTTTGTTGTTCAGTGGTGTCACAAACGTTGTTCCAAAATAATTGGTAATTTTTCTAAAGTGTCCAATTTTGTTTGTCCTGCTTGCATCAATCCACAACAACAAATTCGAAGCCATTAAGGTAGAGAAAGTCACATCGTTTCAATATCTAGGGGATGTTCTGGATTGTACTGGAACAGCTGAAGCTGCTGTTCGAGCACGCATACGTGCAGCCTGGAATAAATGGCATCTTCTTGCCTCTATATAGATACGGTGTGACATCCCACTACCACTACGAAAAAGACTTTATAAATCTGTGATACGTCCGGTGTTGTTATATGGTGCAGAAACATGGCCAATGACAACCAAACTGGAACAACAACTTCAACGAACCGACATGAAAATGCTTCGATGAATGCAACGAATTAGTCTGAAGGACCACATCAAATCTACCGAAATCCTGCGTCGTCCTGGTTTAGATGATATAAAGGACGAATGCCGGCAACACCGTCTGTAGTAATGTTCTCTTTTCATAACCGGACTGTTTAAATACATCCTCATTCGAAGTATGAGAGGTCTAACTAATTCTCATAATTATTCTAAAAACCATATCTCAGCAGCGTAAATCTTTTTCCATTTCTTTAGAAATTGTCCAGGACTCAGAGTCGTAAGTTAGCACATGAAAATTGTAACCCCCAAACATTTTTTATTTTGTTAATATTATGATTTTACTGTTGGTGAGGATGTTTTTCATTTTAGAATAAGCATCCTTCTTTTGATATCCACATCACATTTACAACCTGAGGTAATCAGACTTCCGAGATAATTGAAGCTTTTGATTTGTTTCACCTGTTTACCATTAAGGGTTATGGAGCAGATCGGGGCGGTTTTGCTTTTACTGATAACCATGCACTCTGTTTTGTTGATGTTAATTCGCAAGCCTTTCTTTTCACTTTCAAAAACCAGTTTGGAAACAATTGTTTGCAGTTTTTCCATTGAATCTGCTATAAGAGCTGTATCACCAACACATTGTTAATATTCACACTTTCAATGGATATTCCAAGTAGATCTCTCTTTTTCATGAGGATCTCACAATAGAGATTGTATAGGCCTGGAGAGAATAAACAGCCTTGCCTAACACCTTTCTTTATTTCGACATATCTTGTTACTAACTTTCATCGCTGCTCTTTGATCATAATAGAAGTTTTTGATAACTCTCGTGTCTTTTTCATCAATGTCCAAATTTTTCAATGTTTCCATAAGCTCCACGTGTTTTACGCTATCAAAAGCTTTGGAGTAATCGACAAAACATAAAAACAAGTTTTCATCTCAATCGCTCGTTCACGTTCACTGATCATTCGTAGCATAAAGATAGCGTTTCTTTTGCCACAATCCTCAACAAAACCACATTGGACATTTGAAATTTCAGATCTGATTTTGCTTCGTGCTCTCATCATCAGAATTCTCGAGAGAAGTTTTGTAAGATGGCTCATCAAGCTGATTGTTCGATGTAGTTCACATTCCGTTGACCGTTGCATTAGGTTTTTTAGGCAATGCAATAAATATTGACTTCGATAGATCTTTACAAATATGGTAAACAATGCTGAAAGTGATTATTAAATGATAATTGAATACTGTAAAAAAATTATCGTGGAAAAAAAATGCGATTCAAATAAATATTTGAAATTTCAGATCTCATAAAATAAATAGGTACTACTGGATATTTTTAACTGATTTGCCGTTACTTATCTTTCTGTTAAGCTTCGTTATAATGAATTCTGGCAGATCAACAAAAATATCCCATTTTTTTACCTAAAGAAATTAAAATATAAACTTTATTTAAACCTATTTCCACAAAAGTTATGACCAACCTGCATGTAACGGTTATCACAAGTCTTAAATTGTTTTTACAATTTTCTCAATCAGGTTTTTTTTCGTTAAAACGCGGCAATCTCAATGTTTACTATTGTCATTTTATATCACTGGACACATAAAATTAAAAAAAATGTCTGGTAATAACAAAACGATCATGACATTGTTTCAATTTATCGTTAGGTAAATATATCATCATCAAGTTTGTTTCCAAGTTGTTAGCTAAATGGTCTTGATTAAACATTCTAAAATGTTTAGTTGTCTTCAACAAGAAAATTGTGTAAATTTCTTCGGACTAATGTCGAGTAATGGTTTACTGCATTACAGTGTTCTATTTATACCACTTCAGATACGCATTTTTTAATCGTTGTTAAATCAAGATTATAAGCTTTTATGAAATAAAACTACATTTATGAATAATTTTATGCGTCAATTTATTTAGGCCAATAAATAATATAAATTTTTTAAAATTATTTTTTAAATTGAAAAATTGACGTCGCTATTCATGATTAACCTATAGTGATTATTATTATTTTAAACTATTTTCGAAACAATTTTGCTTCAAACCTTGTTCTCAAACATTTTAGTATTTAATATAGTTGTCCTATATTTTTATCTTTCAAGCAATTTTGTGAGTGCAACATGCTGTTTTCATGGTAACTAACTTGGCTGTATTCCAGCACGAGATATATATGCTCCTGAGTTTCAAACTTGTTGATAAGACGCAAGATATTTTCATGTTTCAGTCTTTTCATGATATTAATTTCTTTCATGAGCCTCTCATGATTTCTTTCAATTTTGTTTTGATCAATTATTTTTAATGCCATAACAATACCTCTTTTCCTAAAATTTAATTTTCAAATAAAATATTAATCTGAGAGCATTTTATTTTAACTGAATAATAATAATAATAATGTGAAACTAATACAATGAAAATTTCATAAAAATTTACTTGTCTTTGCACTCTTTGACAATAGAGAAATTTCCAATTCCAATCTCATTGCCAATTAAATATTTGTCTGTCAACTTTTCGAAACCATTTGACTCTCGATAAAAATTATGGATATTTTTATAAATAATTTCCTTCTATTGTTATTACCAATATAGATAATATACTAAGATTTTACTAGTTCAAAATAGTTGAAAGACTTCTAACAAAAAACCAACATATTTTTAAGCGGCAGCATCTCAAAATCACGTCAGAATCCTCAGTTTCATTCTTACTCTACTAAAGCCTCATTCTAAGCTTGGTAAGGCATTAAAAAACTGCTCCACTTGCATGACTTTTCCTAAAAATCTCGTTTAAGTAGCTCACAATTCATTTTAGAAGCCCATTTCAATTTTATTACAGGTGTCGTATTTTGTTTTAAATGAAAATCTTTTTCAACCATTTTTACAGTTTATTAGTATCAATTTAGACAGTTTCTGCAATACTTGTACGTGTTAGGTTAATATTCTGATAAATATTTTTATTTAAATACTATTGGATAACATAACATAACATAACATAACATAACATAACATAACATAACATAACATAACATAACATAACATAACATAACATAACAATGTTTAAAAAGGTTTACTAGACTAGCATCTGTGTAAGAACCACTACAAAATAAATGTTCTAGTATCCTAGCTTGATTTTAAAATTGTTGATTAAATCCACTAAAATAATTTCATCGCTCAGCTCGTTCCAGGCGTTTACCACCCTGATGCTGAAGAATCTTTGCTTGATTGGATTTTCTGCCTTTCCTTTTTTCTAGTTGAAAGAACCTGGTGAACGGTGTTTCTTCTTTTCCAATTATCAACTTATATGTCTAGTGTTGTTAATCCGCATTCTTTCAGTCTATTCATATATTCTAGTTTTCCAACTCCTGTTGCTCTACGCTGTATCCGTTCAAAATTGTCTTTATACTTTTGCAGATCTGGACTCCAAACCTGTGAACAGTAATCGAGATGAGGGCGAACTAATGTTTTATGCAAGCTTATAATGATCGACTTTTCTCTGCTCCCCACAATTCTTCTGAAACATCCAAATATTTGATTTGCTTTGGCTACTGCCAAAGCACATTGTCTTGATGTTTTCGTGCTTTTATGAATAGTAATTTCGGGTCCTTTTCTTCTTCTGTAGATCGAAGGTCCTTACTGCCAAGTTGATACTGAAAGCCTTTGTTCTTTCTTCCCATATGCATAACTTTACATTTGTCTCTTTTAAATAGCATTTGCCAATCTTCAAACCATTTGTATGGTCTTGTCAAATCTTGTCTTAGTACATCCGCATCTTCCTCGTTATTGATCCTTGCACGCAACTTCGTGTCGTCCGCAAATTTTGAATTTTTGACATTATGCCAGAGTCGATATCATTAATGTAGATAACAAATAGTAGAGGGCCCAGCACCAAATCTTGAGGAACTCCACTTGTAACGCTAATCCAATATGAATTTTTGCCTTTGATCCGTACTTTTCGTCTTCTGTTCTTCAGCCAGTTAGTAATCCATTGTAGCAAATTTCCAGATATTCCACATGCCTGTAGTTTTTTGACGAGTCGTTTATATGGCACTTTATCAAATGCTTTTGCGAAGTCTAAGTAAATTATGTCTACGGAGTTTTCACTGCCCACATTGCCGTATACTTCCTCAAAAAAATTCAAAAGATTAAACAAACAAGCAAGTCCCTTCATGAATCCGTGTTGGCTGTTTCCTATTATTTTGTAGTTCGCCAGATAATTGACTTAGTTGCTCTTCACTATTTTTTCTAATACTTTGCATAATATACATGTTAAACTGACTGGTCTGTAGCTGCTGGTGTCGCACCTGCTCCCTTTCTTGAATATTGGTGTGATAATGGCATCTCTCCAGTTTCTTGGTATTTCACCTGTTTTGATTGATTCCATAAATATTTCAGTTAGCGTTGCTTCTATTTCATTTTTTACTTCTTTTAAGAATTTGGAGTGTAGTTCGTCTATTCCAGAAGTTTTGTCTTCCTTCAGAGATTCGAGCACCTTTACCACTATCTCTTCTGTAATATCCAGAGTATCTGTCCTTGGTTTTCCTTCAACAGTTTATCGGGTCTGGGATACATTCGTTGTTTTCTTCTTCCAGTACAGATCCAAAGTATTTATCAAGTATTTCCGCAGTTTCTATGTAATCTGTGACAATATCACCTTGGTCGTTCTTTAGCGGTCCAACCATCGTGTTCCTTTTTCGCTTGCTCTTCATGCAGCTGTAAAAGCTTTTGTTATCTCTTTTTATGTTCTGAATAAGTTTAACTTCGTATTCTTTAATACCCTCCTTGTTTGTTTGACTTGCAACGTTTATTTTTTTCCACATATTTTTTCTTATCTTCGTATATTAGACTTTCAATAACAACAATAATAACAATATGCTGTAATGCATGTGTGTGCATTGAGTCAGGTTACAGTAGTAACGAGACTGTAACAGCTTTAAATTATTCATCTAATAATTGAATCTATACAGTTTTTAAAAATATTCAAGTCTTTTGCATCAATTGTTTCCTGAGATAAGTTATTCCAATTGTTGACTATACGATTTGTAAAAAAACTTTTTTCGGCAGTTTTTAATTTTTCCATTCGTAATCTTTTATTATGTCCTCTTGTTCTTTGGTCAAACACGAATATCGGTTCATTATGCCAGTTTAGTATATCTGTGCAACTTACAAATTTGTACATCTGAATTAGATCACATCCGGTTCTTCTTTTTTCTAACGTTGTTTGACCAATCATATTTAATCTGTCATGGTATGGTAAGTTTTTTAGTTTACACATTCTGGTTGCTCTTTTCTGAACTTGCTCTAACTTTGTTATGTCTCCTGTTAGATATGGATTCCAGACTGTAGCCGCACACTCCAGGTGCGTTCTTAACAGAGATGTATAAAGCCGTTTTAGTGATTTTTCGTCTAAAAACTGAAAAGACTTTCTAATCATGCTTATTTTTCTGTTTGCTTTCCAAACTGCATAATAGACATGTTCTTTCCATTTCAGATCATTTGACACATAAATACCAATGTCTTTTTCAAGTTCAGTTTCATTTAATTTTATTTTTTCTTTCCTATCATTATACATATAGTAATCAAATCTAGGGTTATTCCTACCAATATGCATTATTCAACATTTTTCAGTATCGAATTTCACCTGCCACTTGTCTGACCAATTAAACATTTCATACAAATCATTTTGTAAATTAGTATTAATTTTATTATCTTATATTAATTTAATAATCTTTGTGTCATCTGCATATAATTTAAAATTATTTCTGACGTTGATAGTAAGGTCACCACAAATAGTAATGCTCCAAGTACCGACACTTGAGGAACCCCACTCAGGACATCTATCCAGCTTGACACATACTCCCCCATTACCACTCTTTGCTTTCTTTTACTTAATAATGCTTTGCACTAACCTAACAATTTATCTTTAACACTAAGATTTTCTAATTTTATACATAATCAATCATGTGGTACAGAATCAAAAGCTTTAGCAAAATCAAGAAATCTTTTCCAGGCTTTATTTTTAGCACTTCTGGCTTTCTTTACTTCTTTATTTACCAAAGAACACTTCTCGTTATTTATTCTGTGGATTGGCATTTCTTTTTCCATAACCTTTTTCATATGACAAAAACCGCATCCATTTTCCCTGTACACTAAGGCCTGCCAGTCTATCTTTTAAGTTTATATCTTTGATTTGCCTTCTGATTTTGTCGTAGTCTGCTTTGCAATAGTTGTATCGTCCTTTTGTGATACTGTTTCGGTTTCATGTTCAACAACTGCTTCAAACTTTATTGTCTGATGATCACTGGATGTTATTGTAATTTTGCTTTTGTTCTACTTCTATGATTGAGCCATTTGGCATGCATATAAACAGCATACTAAACTGTTTGGTAAGCATATAAATGATATTCTGTTTAATTTAGAATATATGTTGGGTTTAGACTATCATAAATACAATTATTTATAAAGATCAATGCGTTTTCGGCTTTATTCAACTTGTAGTTGAGTTTCTCAATTTTTCTAACGAGACTTTTATCATCTTGATGAAGTTTATTAAGGTTAAATAAAAAACTTTTAATATTTGACATTTTTGACAAAACATTATTAATAACGTTAAAGAGCTTTTCTGTAGTAATTATGTTATTAATAATGTCTTGTCAAAAATGACAAATATTAAAAGTTTTTTTCTTTAACCTTGTAAACTTCATCAAGATGATAAGGGTCTCGTTAAAAAAATTGAGAAACTCAACTACAAGTTGAATAATGCCGAAAACGTAGTGATCTTTATAAATAATTGTATTTAGAATATATATAGAGAGAGTTTTGTGATATTGTCATATGTAGTTCATCTGGTATTTATAGTATTTTTAACAAAAGAACTCCATTGTTCTATTGTTTCTTTGTGTAATTTCTTTGTATGCACGTGTATGGGTATAGGCCTGCACTTACTTTCCGAAAAACACATCTCAGTCTCTGGCCCTCAGAAAAAAATTTGTGTTTTGTACCCAATTGGTTGAATTAGTTAAACAAATAACATATTAAAATAATGCCACTTTATATCACAATTGAAATTCTGATTACAACTTTTACAAAGTTGAACATTTACCATCAGTTTCAATTCTATAATCCACTGATTTTGCACCAGATCTTTTAGGTTTTTCCAACGAGTTTATTTCTAATACAAAAGAATTTTTCAAAAATTAATTAATTTGAAAAGTTAATTTAAAATTATTAAAATTTAAAAACTATTGACTTTACAATCATTCGAAAGAAGGAAGTTAGTTGAAATGTTTTTTTAGAATATTCAACTGACTACGGGACAAATTTATTAACTAAAAACCTGACGGAGTTGATACAAATGAAAATTAATTGTTACCCTGATTGCTAAGAATTAAATCATTTTTGTCAATCAAATCAGTTCCAAATGCGATGTACAAATTATCTCCAGAAAACAACTGATCAACCATTGTTATCTGCATGATTAATTTGTGAGAATTTCAATTTCATATTTTTGTTATTTATAGTCATAATAAAACACAAATTTGATATAATGTTGCCTTTTTGAAAATATATTTTTCAAATTAATGACATGAAAACAGAAATCATGTCATTAAATTCTATTTGTTAACATAGTGACTGTCCAATTCTTGACTGATCTAAAACTAGACCTCAATGTCAACTTTTCCAGCAAAATAGACCTATGAAAAAACTAAAAAGAAATCATTCTAATAATCTAAGAGTCAGCCAATTGTAGTAACAGCAAGAAAACAGAGAAAAATGTTAACTTTATTGTGGCATCTAGAAAGCAGACTTAGTGAAGCTGTGCTGTGCAATTCAAGAAAACTTGTTTTAACTATGTACTATTTTTTATTTCAACTAAAAACATTCAAAACATTACCGTTTGCAATTAAAAAAATTCTGCTAGAATTATATTAACATTAAATTATATTAACATTATAATTATATTATAATTATATTTCAAGCAAGATTTGTATTACACGCAATTGTATTATTAAGTATAATAGAAGTTATAACTATTTGGTTATCTATATAAAAGAGCCATAGTTTTACATGTTCCTGTATGTATACTTAATAAAATTACTTCAAATGAGGCAAATTTGCAAGCCATAAACTTTGTGATGATAAAGCTGTTTAATCACCAAAATAATACCTCTTTCCCTTCAGATGAGAATAAATGTTTTACACAGCCAGAGTCCAATTTGATAAAAGAACTTAAATCATCTAAAACTTTTCCAAAAGTTGGAGCAGTCTTTGAACTGAGAAGCCATTGAAATATTTGTCTTGGTCTACCTGTTGCATTTCGCACTATATTTATTATTTTTGCATAATTTTTAGTTGGTTGCTGAGCAATTTGTTGATTATTATGGTGAAGAGATTGTGAAATGTTCTTTTTAGGTTGAGTAGGCCACTGATGTTGATTTGACATTTTAATGCCAGACACTGAAGGATTATTCATAGTTGATAAATTTGTCTTTTGTAACTTTGAATTTTTAATAGATAACGGAGTTACAGGGACAATTTCATTAACAAACAGCTTTGTAGTTTTCCACTTAGGATTACAAGTTTGATTTATATAATCCATTGGGACAAATAAGTTAGAGCTACTGCACACATAAGATTCACCTTCCTAATGAAATGATAAAATTTGTTTATTATGCTAATCTGCCAAAACCATGATGTTGATAATCAACTATTATTATAAATTATTAAAACTGAAAAAAATAGATGCACCTCCATTTGATTTACACTTGTTATTTTTATCCCAGAGAGAGTAAATATGGTCCTAACCCCAAATGGCATAATCCTTTTATCACAAAAGTTTGAGGAGCTCAAATCTTTAAGAAGAGTTTCAAAGTCTTTGTATCTACTGAAATTTAAAGGATACAGCAAGCCAGTGAAATATTTATCCCCATTGCGATAAAATTTCACACGGACAGCCCGTTGAGAGCATGAAAAAGAACTATTTGATCTCTTGATGGTATGGTTTGGGTTCCTACTATTTTCTTTGTTGCTAGTTGTAAGAGAATTCATGATCAACGATGTGCAAATTTTTAGACAAAAGTGATTATTATAAATTCGATACTTTTTAAAACAAGTCTGTATCAGTGCATTTGTATAAAATAAATAACTATAAAAATAAATAACTGTAAACTTTTCGAATCGTCATTTAAAATGTAAAACGTGGGGAAATAAATTTCAAAATGTCATCAGCGGAGAAATACGTTTTACGTCAACAAAACACAAAGAACAAATTTTTTCTGAAGCAAATAAAGTTGTATAATATCTAATATTATCACATATATGAATATAATTATGACTTAGAATATTACAGACATGTCTGTTAAAATTAAAACTTACTGAAAATTTTGCTTTATACAACGAATGAGAAAGTTTCAAATTAACTAATCCCTAACAATTTGTGATTTAATTTAACAAGCCCTCGTGTTCCACAAAAAAATGCATTAATGAACAACTTACACTGGTTGGACTTATATTTAATATTACTCATAATTTTACTTTTTTCAATTTTTTTTATCACAAATTTGTCGTCTTATTCGAAAGAAAAAGATGGAAATATTAAAAAGATTGGTGAAATATTTTTGCTTCCGTTTCTCTGCGATAAGCAATGCTAATTAAAAACAAACACTTTTTAAAATCTTAAATAACAATTATATACTGTAATATTATTTAATTATAATTATAAAATAACTAGTAATAAGTAAAATTTCACTTTGTTGACTCAATCTGATCATGACTTTGCTATTCAAATAAAAAAACAGGAGCTCAAGGCCGGCGTTAGCATTAGTTAGTAGGGTCTGGGATTTTATAATTAAAAAGTGTACCTTTAAAATTAAATTATACTACATATAAAATAAGCGTTACTAATCCTTCGTGCTTATTGATAGCAATGTGTCAAGAAAGTGTTATTTTGCCCATGTTTATATCTATTTTAAAATTTATTTTATATTATAATTATAATTATCTCCAAACGAATCATTATTAAATTTATTAAAATGGATGGATTATAAATTCAATTTTCCAAAATAACATCTTCCTTAGTTATACAAGTGGGTATGATCTTTGTATATTATTATCATAACTTATATAAAATTATTATAAATGCTATATTATATTTAATTTAATATATGTCATATTTTATAGACACTCACAAAAGTTAACACAATTGTCAATGTTATGAATGCTGAGAAAGATTATCCAGTTGTAATCAAAACTTCAAGCACTGGCAATGGTAAAATATTACAGAATAACCTCGATCTAGCCAAACAAAAGGCATCATCTTATGCTACAAAACCATCATACATTAAACCCAAGAAGTTTGTTAAAAAAGAAAGATACTCCAGCTGGTGGCTTCTTTGTCCTTTCAGACCCTTTTCAAAGTTATTGATTACGTAATAATAATAATAATAAAAAAGTTGAATATTATACTATATAGTATTTAGTACTGATATTTTTTGTCCAGTAATTTCTATTTTTATGTTTCATAACTTTTTAAGTTAAAAGGATTCCTTTAGTTTTTGTGTTAATATAGTTAACACATCTTTGTTGCTTACCCATTATATTTTGCTGTACTTTCAACATTTAACAAAATTTATCATATTGTGCTTACAAAAGCAAAATGATACCTCATACGCTTGATAATTTGAAAGTAGTTTATGAATTTGCATTCAGTGCAACTGTTTGTTCTCACAGTGGTGGTTATTAGGCATTTTATTGATTAAATGTCTATAATTTTTGTATTTCTAGTAAAAGTAACACAAGTTTTTAAATTATTCACTATTAATTTATAATAAATATGATTGGTGACTTTAAAATGGACCATTATTATAAAATTATGCTGAAGACTTTTTGAGAAATACTTAATTTATTTATAAGGTAAATAGAACTAGTTTTGGAAACATCATAACTGAGATATTTTTATGAATATTGAATGCTTTGCTTTTACAACAGTGTAAACTGGCCAAAAACAGAAATTATTAACAGCTGTTTATTTAGAATGGGCGAATATATATTATATGTCCATATGAAATTATACATGCCTAAAAATTATTTCATAGCATAATATAATGCAGATGTCTCTAACATAATATCTGTTTTTCAACATAATATCAGTAAATCTATTGAACTTGCAAAATATTTCAAATGCTTCAACAAAATTTCTATAATTTTGGTTCAGATTTCATTATTTTTAATGGCTTAATTTCTATTGTTTAAAATTTACAAGTGCCGTAATCTAAGATCAATGTTACCAGGAATTTTAAATTAGCAGCATTTTTCAATAAATTATGTACCTTATAAGGCTTGACGAATACAATTTTTATTTTCTTTTTTCTCCATTAATCATTAATATATAAAAAAGGTGGTTGATTTTCAGTAATTAGCTGGATCACGAATCTATAGAATAATGATATTAATTTTTTATTGTTTCACTAAACATTAGTTTTATTATATATTATGTTATATATTAAGTCAAAAATTTAAAGCAAAATTTTATTTGTACAACTTTTGTCTTTTTAATTCTTTCATTAAAGTGTTTCATTATGGCTTTTTTGTTTTTTAATTTGTTTTGTTCTTTGCAGTTTGAAAATATAATAAATTGTGTCAGTTCAGCTCAAATATATTTTTTTTTCTAAAGGCAGAAAAATGAAAATGAATTTCCATTAAGATACTTAGGACTGTATAATATGATGACATTTCATTGGATGACTAAAAAGATCTATAGAATATATAAGTATGGGTTTTCAGACACTGAAAAATGTTGGAACGTTCCCCATAGTGAACAAGCTCGTACAAATTATAAAAAGTTTTGAATTTTTTTCATTGTTTTTTAATCATTTTACAAAAACTTGGTCTACAATTTAATTTCCAGGATAAAAAAAATTTGGCTTTATGAAGCTAATGAAAAAAAGAAACTAAAAAATTACCAAATGTTGCCTGAAAAACAATCAGAGAGAAATAGTGGTAATCCTAAATTGTTGAATGTACTAATAGATTTCAGCCTTCCATTATTCCTAGCCAGTGTTTTTGTCAACTTTCTTAGCAATTTTGTGGGCTTTCTTGGACCAGTAAGAAGTCACTTTACATTTATATATAATAATTTGTTCAATATTTTACATGGTAGTCTACTTAAGGCCTGTTTTCCACGGCATTTATTTGTAAACGTTTTGATAAGTCTCTATCTGTGGTTTATACCATTTGTGCAAAGTGAATTAACACAATTTTTAGCATTTTTATTTCTTAAGCACAGTTTTTTTTATTTCACATCATTATTCTAAATAAGAGTTAATGTATACAAATTATTTTAAAAACATGTCAATCAGTGTCACAAGAAAATTATCAATTATTTTTCTTATTTTTATTCTAATTACAAAAAAAACAATATAATAAGTTTTTTCATGCCATAATAAGTGTTTTCATATAAACATCCAGACGAACTGAGACATGATCGGAAAACGACGGTCATTTCGCAGACTCATTCTCAGATTGTGTGACAATAGATTGCGAAAAGATTTGTTAAAGTTGTTAACATTTCAATTCCAAAAACTAATTAATCTATAGCATCAAAAAATAAGCTAATAAGGAAATGATCAACTCTAGAGGTGCATTCAGAATTAGATTTACAAACACGCAATTTAAAGCAAAAAGAACAAAGAGCATATACAATTACACTCTGTTTTCAAGTTTAGACAAGTACAGAAATACATATTTACATTTCTACAAGTTTGAAAATTATAAAATTTACTGCTATGAAGTAAATCAAACTTTCTAAGCAATTTCCCTACTGTTGAACTTGAATTTTTAATAGAAAAACAAAGTATTAATTTTGAGATGCATTGATTTTATTTAAATTAAAATTTGTGGTTTAATTATAATAGCTATTTATTTAGTTAATTCTTTTGATTACATGTCTTATACATGTTAAAATTAAATTTGAATATTGATTAATTGATAATGACCGTAATTTCTTATAACAGGCTGTTTTATTCAGATTCCTGCTTGAATATGTTCAAGATAATAAAATGGACAGCAAGTTATACGGTCTCGGTCTTGTTGGGTTGCTTTTTGTAACAAACATGATGAAAAGCCTATTGTTTACCGCCAGTATGCATTTGGCTTGTCTTTGGGGTTAGTGGATATATGACTTTGTGATAGGTAGACGCCTATTTCCTCAATTGCTACCTCAATAACGAATGAGGTAATAGGTGTCTATTATCTAATAATATCTAATATCTATTGGCCAAGTTAATATGAGCGATGTTTTTGTACTTTTTTATTTTCCTAGAACCATATTTATGGTTTTTTGTTCTATTATTCTAGTAATTTTGTCTGAAATCGGACCTTCGATGAGTGGAGCGTCAAAGTTAACATTCATGGGATTTGTTTCGTTTAACAAACGGCTGAAGTATTCTCTTCACTGTAGCTTGATCTCATCTTGTTCAAGAACCATCTCGTTTTTGTCGTTTTTGATACACGAGGCACCAACTATGTCTTTTTTCGTACGCTTTGCTTGTTTTGCTATACGATACAGAGATTTCATTTGTTCACCTTTGCTTTTAGTGAGGCACTCTCTGCACTGATCTGTCCGAGCCAGTGCGACTTGACGTCTTGCATAGTTGTTCTTCTCACGGAAAATTTTATGGTCATCAACAGACTTTGATTTTTGCCATTGATTGTATGCAACTTTCATTTCAGCTATTGCATTTTGTACTGTCATTCCACCATCAATTGTCCCGTTCATGCTGACGTTTTGTACCAGTTTTCCCACAAACTGTAGTTGCAGCGTTTATCAAAACGGTTTTGTATGTACTCCAATCTGTACTGGCTTGCGATTGGCGATCTAACTGTGTGGCGACAATCTGTTGAAATTTTTCTCGATAAATGTTACTTTTCAGCTTCCACGTTTTGATTCTCCGAGGCATTTTTTTAGACTTATGTTTTGA